ATATATATATACACATACAGACATATCCATGTAAGCACATAAATGTGACTGACATCTATATAGTAACAATGGGTATGTACAACATGTTATCTTTTAATCACCTCGTTTTAGCTGCGGGCCCTATCTCGTTCCCCAAGTAACGCTAGCAAAACTCGTATTACCATGTCCGCCTGTACTCTTAACACAAGAAGACTAAATAACCGTGGTCGCTCATATATCTATTAGATCAATCTTGAAAGCATGCCATTAATTATTTTTATCAGCAATATCCGTCTGTGAGATTTCGAGCCGAGGAAACTCTTAAAGCCTAGATAGATATGAAGTGTAGCTCTCTGTGTTGCGCGCAAATCGAGCTAACACTCTCCACAATGATTCGCGAAGTTGTCTTGATGTCGAAGCTTGCAGTCTATGCTAGTCTGGTGTATAAGCAACAAAGGTCGGCGCAGGGCCCGAAAACAGCATAAGACTCTTCCTCACGCAAACCACATGTCTAAGCTGCACAGGAAGACTTACAAAGAAGCTAATGGAGGGGCCTAACTAATTACCAATACTGTCTTGGAGGGCTCCTTATCATAATTCGAGAATAATGGGCCCCAAAACCATTCTTATTATTGAGGCCCCTATATTCGCAGGGATGCCTTCACCTTTGGCCAGGCTCCTCTTCACTGCGGCTTGGCGCGCCCCCTCGTGGCCAGCAGTGCCTGCGATGTCTTCCACAGCGAACGTGCCATGCCAAAGCCCTGAAGATTAACATAGGGGCCTTCATAATTAGAATAAGGTTTTGGGGCCCATTCTACTATAATCATAATAACGAGCCCTCCATAACAGTATTGGTAATTAGTTAAGCCCCTACATTAGTTTAGGGTTTGGGGTTTAGGGTTTTGAACATTACCATAAGCCCCACTCAAGACCGGTCCCAACGCCAAAGCCACTGTAGACCCGGACCCGGTAAGCTCCCTCTAAGGTTTAGTCGCACAAAAAGAAGGTACTTCAAAACAAAGGCCCGACGCAGCATGCCGCTTTCATCTCAGTACCAACCCAGAATACAACGTCTCGACCTGCCGCCTTTAGTTCTCGGTGCTACTTTCTCATAGCTGATCTCCGGCTTACGAAGCCTGGACTCCACAAGCGAAGAAGCTTTAACTTGGACCTAAGCTTAACATGCTTCTGTAACCTGATTGGCTGTGCCTCGTCGGCTGTTTGCAGGCGTCTACCCTTGGAGTGGCTCTTGGACTTTTGGCGTTGCACCCATCCTGACAAAGGCAGAAACTATCTCCTCAATCTCACAAGGCCGTTGGCAAAGGTAGTGCTAATGGCAGTTGTATTGTACTAGTAGTGGGATTAGTATTCTATATTGTTGGTAGTAATGTAGTAGTAGGTTGTAGCAGTACCAGTATTAGTAGTAACAGCAGTAGTCGTCGTCGTAGTAGCAGTAGAAGTAGCAGTAGCAGTAGCAGCAGCAGCAGCAGCAGCAGCAGCAGCAGCAGCAGCAGCAGCAGCAGCAGTCGCATCATAGTAGTAGTAGTAGTAGTCGTCGTCGTCGTCGTCGTCGTCGTCGTCATAGTTTTGAACAGCAGCAGTATGCAGCAGTAACAGCGGTAGTAGCGGTAGCAGCAGCAGCAGTAGCACAGTAGCAGTGGTACTAGTGGTAGCAGCAGCAGCAGTAGTGGTAGCAGCAGCACCAGCAGCAGCACTCGCAGCAGTAGCAGTGGCAGCAGCAGCAGAAGTAGTACTTGTCGTCGTCAGGTAGTGTCAGCAGCAGTAGTGGGATGACATTCTCCTCCCTGGTCTGCTTTTTGAATCTCAAATGCGGACAGCCGGGCCAGATGATGCGATTTCGTTATCACTCTAACAGGAGGTGTCGTTGACAAGTAACAAGCAGAACGCCTTTCTAACCTTGCAAAGGAGGCTGCCTTAGCTGCTTTGGCTTTGCGGCAGCAGCATTATCGTTTTCTTCATGCTCCAAAGTGCCAGAGGGCAACTCCAAGTAGCGGAAAACACCCTCATGATCGAGAATGACTTCGGTTTCTGTCTCCGATCGCGTGCGTTCAAACTTTCTGTCGTTGAAATGACATCTTGGTCTGCAAGGTCTCCTGAACCTGGTACAAGAAGGGTTGAGGGAATAACCAACAATTAGCCGTGCTTCTGACGTCGTATTCCAACTCCTTGTCCGCAGAGAGCCTCAGCGATTTGAACAAAGACTAAAGAGGGGCGCCAAATCCGTGAAAGCCCCGAAAGTGCCATCCCACAGTGTACCTGTGCCTACCGAGTCTGGCTTTTCCTCGAGAGTTTGTAAAGCGCTTGAGGGTGAGCCTGGTGCTTCTTGCACAAGTTGTGCTTGTTGCAAGGTTTTTGACTTAGCACGATGAACCGCATCTGTGGAACGTGAGCTCTGCAACCACAGCCAGCTCAGTCACACGCTCTTAGGTGGAAGGAAATGCCGACAGCGAGATCTGTGTTAACAAGTCCGTGTAAGCTTTTTCCAAGCGGCCCGAATGCTTCCAGCTCAGGAACATGAACCCTCTTTGCCTCACAGCTTCCGGGCTTATCGCACAGCTTCATCAAAGTAGGCGTTCTGGTCGGACTATGGCAACCCAGACGTCATCCCAAGAAGCAAACAGACCAAACAAATGTAGTCGTAGTAGAAAGGCTGCTCAAAACAACCAGACTGGCATAGCAACAAGCACACAGTACATATTGATACCGTGAAAGAAATGAACTTGGCGTACTGCTGAACCCCTCCTAAAAGTTAAACT